ATATTATTCTTCTGTTGTCAATGATTATACCTCAGAGCACATATTGACATAAAATAAGACTGGAATTTTCTCTTATTTTCAATAAATTATTAGTAACAAAGTAGTCGGATGGATCACAGTTCAGGAAGAAATCATAGGGCAAAGGGTTAAAGAAAAGGAAGAAAACTCAACAAAGTGTGTAGTTGAATAGATCCCACTATGTTGTCTATTTTTGAGCCAAGCTGCGAGTCTGTCTCTTGAATAGTAACGACATTGTCTAGGTTGCCGCCGTCTGGTCTGATTAATCCCTTATGTATGCGCAAACTTCGTCCTTACCGGTGGGATGTTTTGGTCTTGGATGATCGTCGCTCTGGAAATAGACGGCAACCTTCATCTTGATCCTTTTTAAAAGTTTTATCTAATTCGGTCTAGTTCGTAGAGTCTATTTCCTGTGGAATCAGGAGGCACCACGTGCCTACGCGCCATTTTCAACCCTATACCGAAAATAAAACGGTCTTTGGGGGACGTTAGCGCCCTTTCATTGCCATACCGTCGTAATGCAAGAAAAAGTTTTATCTCTTCTTCTTCATTTCGGTTTTTTTTGCTATTGTTGTATCGTAACAATTTTATATTATATTTCTGGTATCAACAGATTTTTGTACTTGAAACTTTCATGGTTGTTTCAGTATTTTATAATTGTGGTTAAGTTGAAATGTGTAATGATTTTAGTATTTAAATTTTCTCTTAGATCATTTAGAAATTTAATTGAAATTGCAATTCACAAATAAATATGATTTAAATTGGTTTAAAATTGAATTTACAACTCGAAGTAACTTTGTATTAAATCATATTTTCGTGTAAAAACATATTTTGTTGAGAAATTGGGAAATATAAGGTTTATTATTGTGTAAGATTATTTTTAACGTTGGAGTTTCAATAAAATATTTGTGATTTCAAGCACGATGATAATGTATTTGTTTTCTTTTTGGTTTAGTGTATATTTCATTTTTTTATTCCAAAATATCTTCAGTTAAATAATATTTTTAATTCATGATATATTTTGATAGATTATCCTTTTTTGTTCCAGCACTAACATGTCATTACAAGATATCACAATGAATTCTACCCTACATATAAATACTGGTAAGTTGAACAATTTATTTTTATTATATGCTTGTTATAACTTTCTAACACGATATCTGAAAATCGATAGACCAATTTCTACATTTTTCATCTAGAATTAAATTGTGATCTATTTAAAAAATTCTTCAACTATATGTATGTCTATATTAAATTTAAAAATTTATGGTAAAGAAATTAATTTTATAGAAGAATACTGAACAAAAAATAGAAAATGGAGGCTTTTATTTGAACCTACAATTCAATGTATAATTAAATTAATTAATTTATTAAATCAGTAATTGATTAAAAACTAGTTTTCTTATTAAGTGTATGAGTGTAACAAAAATAATAAAAAAATTGTTACAAAAGAATCAGAATTTTCAATATAAAAGTATAAAATTTACAGCTTTTACGTAACTTTTAAATATGTATAATCAATCACAAATTTTTAATTTAAAAAATTCCAGTTCGTAATGAAATATTTTTGTAGTATATTATTAATTGGGAACTAAGAAAAATAAATTGACCACTTTCAGTTTGTTACGTTGCTTCTGTTATTGGCAAAAATAATTAATTTTTTTTCATTGAAAAGTTTCAATTGAAATATTGAAAATGTTTGGAACTATCGAGTATGGGCTTGATCTTTAAATTTTATGTGGTGTACAATGTGTACCAAGTAATTGCAAAGGGTTAAGTAAAGTTATCAGTTATAGATAAGAAAAATGTAACGAGAAGATAATAACAGGATAAATATTTAAGAGAAGTAGGTATCTGTTGGTCTCTACTGTTGTAATAATAAACACAGATGGAGAAGGAACACGGAGGGACAGCCAGATTATTGTGGAAATGATAAAACATGTAGTTTTACTCGAAAAACGTCATTGCACTCTACTGCGGTCATATTGTCATCAATATTCCAGTTGAGTCGTCATGCAATGCCACATCATAAAAATGATTAATCTGAACCTATTAACCCCTTGCCTTCTAATATGGCGCCAGACTTATGACGAACACTTTAAATGAAACTTAACAAATGTGAATATTATTCAATCTGTTTGAGTCGAAATGTAAACATAATTGTGAACAAACTCACACTGTAAGAGGTTAATAGAAACAATAATACCTACTTCATTTAATTTCTGTTTTTTCAAATTTGTTCGTATCTAAGTGCAAATTATATAAATATTCATAAGGTACTCACTACTTATTCATTGTGTTATAAATAGCACTCATCTTCGTAAATGATCCGTTAAAAGTCAGCATTGTGATTCAAAGATCAATGGAACGATTAACGTTTTTATATCGCTGAACAAGATCGATCGATCGTCAGCGGGGACCGGATACAATTTTACGGTGTATGATCGGGGTAGGCTGCTGTGTAAAAGTCACTTACTGATATGTAATATTTACTGCGTACAGTATTGTATTCAACGAACGTATCATATGCAGATGCCCCGTTAGATTAGTTGATTGCTTAAACGCCAGGTCACCGATATTGGGGACTGAAAATAGAGCGATCAGTTACCTTCCTCTTTCCCCAGTGAATCTATCTTCATTGGTCATTTCCCTTAACCAATTGTCCCTGTATCGACATCTCTAATGGACAACGGAGATTTCGTTATTTCACTTTGTTGGTGCAGACTTCATTGTTATACATGATATTTTATCGTAAAAAGTGAATGTCTGTTGTAATTTCAATTAAATCACTGCTTAATAGCGTTTGGTCTCTTTAAGCAGCGATGATTGACCTGCAGTTAGCCGGCCGCGTGTGATTTAATTAAAATTGTACTAATTAAGGTAGACGGTGGCGAATTAGATTATTTTCTTTTTGCCATTAAAAATATGAAAATATTAGAATATTGATGATAAAAAATGAAAAAGAATTTTTAAATATTTCTTTTGTAAATAAGAATCAAGAACTGAGAAATATATAGTGTACTTTTGTTTTTATCTAATTTTCCTGTGATCTGATTCGTCTCGGTCTATTCTATATATAATCAAATTAAATTAAAAATTTTATATTGTAAGCTATTTTGGCAAAATTCACATCTACTATATCTGCACGTAATCAACTCCTTATTCGCAATAGTCACGACTCATTGATAAATTAATATGATAGCATTTCGATCGTGCTTGATATGTTTAATTACACTGGACATAGTCTCATCACACATTGGCATCACAAAAATATTACATATTTATAATATATGTGTGTGTGTGTGTGTTGAATGTTTGTATACACGATTGAGTGGTAGCAGAAGTGTAAAGATGGTAGGAAGAGCATATTGGAGAGGGAACTCCCCGTTCGAATGTCTAACGTATTGTTTTGGGATGCCTAGGCATCACTGCTTAAGAATAAATGTGAAATTTGTTTGCACGTGATGTGCAGATGTCTAAGAACCGCAGTTTATGACTACTTCAGCAGACATGAAGTACCAATGGTTGCTGGGACTCTTGGCCACTTGTGTTGGACTGCAACATCAGTTATTAATTTTCGAATTAGTGAACTAGATTTTTTAAGGTTGCGCTATGTACGTTTGTTATATTACAGCTGCCTATAAAGATTATGGTGTTATTCATTTTAGTTTGGTGCAAAGAAATAAAAAAAAGATGACAAGGTTCACCGGTTTCTGTTCATTTGTGATTGGTACTTTATCAATTACGTGTACTACAATTAACAATAATTTTTAGTATTCATTATTTTTCATTAGCTTTTACTTTGATTAAACATCAATTTACTATAATTTTTATACATTTTTAAAAATAGATCTCATCTTTTGAAGAAAAGGAGACCGAACGATTGCAATTTTATCCTTTAGAGTACACAAAATTATGCTAAAAAATTTTAATCTCACGAAGGGAGGCAAATTCATTTCTCTTTATGATTATTCTCCAATTATCATTTTCTGTCTATCAGATTTCCTTTATCAGACAGATTACATATTACATAAACAATTACCAAAGTAATTGTTTTTTACTTTCAATTTCCGAATGGTTGCGAAAATTTATTAAAATTAATATAACGACCAAGTAGTTCAAAGGAATCATACAAACTAGAGCACATACACACACACTTAAATAAAAAAAAATGAATGAAAATCTTCAATATCATTACAAACTAAACTTGAATATCTTTCTAACATCAAACTGTCTGATGCAGACTACATACACCGTCGCAGTGAAAATACCATTCGGAATTAGAAACGCCCTGTTGCGGCGTTAATAACAACTGTATTATCCCATCTAATACAGTCCGCGCGAATATGTACGCGGTGGCGTCTCAGAAATTGCATCTATCATGACGGAAACAGGGCAACGAACCTGTTTCCTCGTGGTTACAGCTATTTTACGTCCACGCCAACTCGGCAGACGTAATCTAACGTCTGCAACTGGGGTGATCACATTATACCCAAGTCTCCGACGTTAGCCTCCATTCCGTGTATCATAAACTAGTGTTTGTTTTCTTATTTATCAACACAGAACAATACGCGTCTTATACTTGATTTTATCGCTCGAAGGATGGCTATTATTGTATAAATCTTGATCAGCCAATCAGATTGTCAGCAATTATTCAGATATAAGGATAACGGTCATCGTACAGGCCATAGCGCTAAGAAATAGTGGCTAATGGCCAAGACGTATCCAGTCTGGCTTGGCCACCTCTGCTTTATAGTAACGCATAAATTTGGACCTAGGTAAACGAATCCGTGCCAGAACCGGCCGACGTTTTGCCCCGGTTCCATCCACGTTTCCGTGATCCAAGTTCTATAGATACTAGATCGCCCCTTGCTGCTACCTGGTTCCATCCGCCGCACCGTTTCGTTATTTTCCTTGCCGCGAAATACAACAGCTGCGCGCAGCACTCTTTCAATTCCCCGACGCATTCTACAGCGTTCTTCTTGTTCCCGCGGTTCCTGGGGGATCTTCAAGATCGTGACGATTATCAGACCGACGGTTTAATTTCGACCAGCGGGATTAATTAAACACCGCGGATCCTCTTTTGTGAGGAATCTTCGGGACTCGAAACGGGTAATGACTCCGAAGAATTTCGTGAATTTTATTGTGCACTGAAAATGTTAATAAGGCGTCTTTAAATAGGATCGTCGCGACGGACGCGACGCACTGTGGCCTTCCGTGGTGATGGAATCGATGATTCGATACGGAGTGTTAGATTCTTGGGATTTTTTAACCGGTCACTGCGTTTGGCGAGTATACGGTTCATTTTTCTATTTTTTTTGCGCGCGAAACAAGAGAATTTTGAAACTAAGTTCCACAGTTAACAGATTAATAGATTTTGTTAGGGCATCTGTGTTTTTGAAATGTATGAGGATAATTTTGTGGACAAAATTTATTATTTAAACAATGAGTATTATGATCTTTAATATTTTGTATTGTTATTATAGGCATAAGAGGTTTTGTGTAATTATGTGACAGGTTTGATTTATATTTGTTCACCGAGTGTTTGTTTTGTTATTTATATAAATTTGAATAATGAAATTGGTTAATTGTTGGGAGATGTATACAGGATCGTGAGAAAATTATTTTCATTACGTGTGCGATGTTTGGAGAAAATTATGCATGATTGCAGTTTTGTTTCATGTGCACCTACTTAATAGAATAATTTCCTGTACGGTTATAACACTCGTTACTTACCCTGTGGGCTGGGACAAAGGCGATTTTGTTCCCACCATATGATTAACGCGTTGCCTGTCAGTTTTCACTGTTAAGGCGATATTGTAATGAACACATTTATTGAAGCTTTAATTATCGAGAATAAAATAATATATAAACATCTCTTAAAATATCTCTCATTTGTTGTCGAACCCATTCCATAATGAATAGATAAAATAAGTATGTAAATAATAATTACGTTTCTGTTAGTATGATACTAAAAAAGTGACAAAGACCGCATTATATCTATTAGATATTACATTCTTTAATGTTACTTTTACCGAAGATGTCAAAACACAGTTTTTAAAAGTGTAATCATTTATTTTCAATGTCTTGTTTATTCAATGTTA